TTAAAGTTAGGTGGTGTTGTAAAAGTAACTTTGACATTACATGTTTTAAGTGCTTTTCCTAGTGTTGGTCCAAGTGTTGGCAGGGCCGTCTCAAAGAGATTTTAAAGGTGGAGGGGGGGGGGGTCATGTGTTTGTTTTTTGTCGACTAAAGCCAAAAAATAATTGATTTCCCATAAAAGAAAATAACTATTTTTAATAAAAGAAAATATGCAGTCCTTTTCAAAATTATTAGAGACACTTTTTACTTTTTATTAGATTTTTTATTGCCCCAATAACTATTAGAACAAAAAAAAAAAAAAGGTCCTCATTTTCCGATATTTGCCGACTGCCACCTATAGATCCAATCTTGCCGACTCCAGTTCCAATTTGCCGACCAAAAAAATTCGTAGGGGGGCTAGACAACCCCCTTCGGGACGACTCTGAGTGTTGGTAGCCAAGGTAGCTTTATTATCGCAACATTATTTTCTAGTTTTTTTTTTGCAACTTTACTGTTTTGATTGTTTTTACTTGTGAGGTAATTCGCAACAATCGTTTCTAGATTTGATCTCTTATGACCGTTTTCAACAAACATATCTATTATAAACTGAATCTCGCTGTTAATATATTTTCGGAGCAAATTTTGGTGGCTTGTGGTATGAAACCTTTAAAAACTCCAGTAATAATTGCAGGGTTGATAGTTGAGTCGGGTTTTATTTGTATGTTTATTATTGCTTCTTTACGGTAGACTTTGAAATCATAATGGTAATTATTTGTGTTAGTTACTTTTATATCTAAAAATTTTAGTTCTCTCTGATTATTTTCAACCTCTGACGTGTACTGAATATTGGAGTCTTGTTGATTTAATAAAATAAGAAATTTGTTATGCTTTTCAACTGATTCAAATCTTGCATACTAAAACATAGCTCTATTAATTGGTGGATGTCAGTAAGTGTTAGTTTGGTTCTTGTTTTAAGATCATTAATTTATTTACTCTTTTTTTTTTTTAATTTAATTTTATATTTCGCTGTTAAAATAAATTACAGATGAGTTTTACATGGTAAATATCAGTAAATAAAATATTTTAAAAACAGACGGGGACTCAAAGAAGATATGGATGATGGAATATCACCTTAATCTTTTCATAGAGCCATTAATTCATATTAATATAATAAAATATTGATATTTAAAATTATAAAATATTCAAAAAGAGTTATAAAAACCCAAGATATAAAAGTAACAGAAAAAAAAAAAAAAAAAAAAAAAATATATATATATATATATATATATATATATATATATATATATATATATATATATATATATATATATATATATATAAACTAAAGATATAACAAGAAAAACTTATTTTAACAAGTACAAGATATTTTGCAATAACTATATTGCAATTTTAGGTTTTCAAAGAAATAAATACAAACATATACAAAAAGATTTAATAATTAGTACATTAAAAGAAACGAATATTATTAGTAACTACTAAGAATAATAAGTGTTTATTTGAACAAATTTAAAAAATTGTTTTAGAACTATTATTCCGCAAAATTTAAAATGTGTTTTTTTGCTTGAAACTTAAATGAGTTTAATGATTTTACCATATTTGCATTAGTTTTTTGAAAAGAATTCCATAATTTAGGCCCTCGATAAGTTAAAAGTTCCTTTTTTGATAAATCAAAGAATTGTTCTTTAAGGTTTAGTATGAATACAATGTTTTGTACATGCACGTGTAATACTGAGAAATTTTACGATCAAAGTCGGAGTCCAATTTTGTTTAGCGACTCCAACTCCGACTCCGCTAAAAATGTTGCAACTCCGCAACTCCGACTCCGACTCCACAGCCCTGGTTGTAACATAAACCTCCTTGCTGTAAGAAGTAGTAATTAAGTGTTTTAGCGACATTTCTTGTTGTACGTAAAATTAAAATAAGTTGTAAAACATCAAAACAGATTCGTACTAACTAATTTATTTTTTTGTAATATTTCGGTCTAATTTGATGAAGCAGTGATAATTGTTTTTTAAACTGTTCAATATTGTTCATATTATATATGCGTTTACTTATTTTGTTATTAGCTTTGGTCTTAATTCTTGTATTTGAGTCGAATGATAGAAATATTGGGAAATGATCAGACATTTCTGCTTTTAATATACCTTTTTGTATATTGTTATTGAAGACATCAGCTGCAATAATGTTATCAGTGAAAGTTTGTTGATAATCTAATTGGACAATTAATTAACGGAATTTTTCCTGTTTCAAATATTAAATCATAAAAATTTTTCATTTTCGTTAGTAAGAGAGTTTAAGGTGGTAGGCCTAGCGATTATCGTTTAAGAAATATATTTCTAGTTTAATAGCCAACTTTGTATAAAATTAGGCTGACTTTTAAACCTTATCTTACATGACATGGTTTTAATAACAAAAAAATACTTAAAAACTAAAATTTCATTGATTATGATTTTAAAAAATTCTATAGCCCCGGATCCCCGCAAATAAAGGTGCCCCCAAAAACTTTAGAAGAATTTTTTTAAGTCACTTTTAGTCTCTGGCTCATAAAAAAGCCTCTGAAAATAACCCCGGACCCCAAAAAGTCTTAATTCGCCGCTGTATTAAGCTACTTTAAAACAAATGTTGCAAATATAATAATGTTGTTAGTTAAAAGGAGAGAAGGAAGTATAGTGTGAATTTACACATTTAAAGTGGAAGAAAAACATATCGAGGGTAAAGAATGGAAGAAAAACATATCGAGGGTAAAGAATGGAAGAAAAACATATCGAGGGTAAAGAAAACGATAAAAAACTCAAACCCTAATCAAAAAATGGCTAGAAGGAAAAGAAGATGTATCAAGAAAGGCTACATTGATAAAAAGAAAGAAAAAAAAGGAGCAGACTCTTATGTTTCAGGAGATTTTTAATTAATATATTGTTTTTAAACTTTAAAACTCGATTTCTCAATTGTATTTTTTGACTGATTGCGAATATCTTTTTAACCAGATAAGCAATTAACTTCAAATTTTCAGTTTCTTTGTAGATAGAACTGCAATACTTTACTAGAAAAAACCTTAAATTTTTTTCCATTTGAACATTTATATTTTACGTAAGGTTTTTGCATCGATAATATCCTTTAAAATTAAAAGAGCTACCATTTTAAAAATAATTATTATTTTTGATTTTTCTAGTAAGATTTTGTTTATTACGCATTACTTTTGTAAGTTTTAGCTTGTAATGTCATAAAGAAGCTGAGGAAACGTAGTTTTCTTTTTTATTGATTTTTTTGCATTTATTGCTGAATCAGCATAAAAAAGTGTGAATAAATTTTTATTTCAGCATTTTAAATTAAATTAAGCATGATTAAGCCTTAAAAACTAATTTACATCTTATTTTTATAACTGATTATGATAAAGAATTTTATGCTGATTAAGAATCGTATAAAAACATTTGTCCGAAAATCAACAGAATGTGCTCTAATTTGATGTTGAAGTTGAAAAAATTACGCAAAAAAACGCCATCTTTTTAATACTCGGTTATGATTAAATTCCTTTTCAAAGAAAACTTTAAAGAAGCCTGGTTTCTACTTTGAAGCAAAACTGTTTAAAAATGCATAACGCATCAATTTCTGATTGATCTCTGACCTAAACCTTAACCCTGACCCGAACCATGTGCATTTAATTGCGCCAATCCCTATTTGTCAGTTTTTGTATATACATCTAAAAATTAACATCTTTAAGGAATTAAAAAAAAATTAATTAAAAAATTAATAATCATAAAAAAAATTAATAAACATTTAAATAAGATTTTATTTTGACGACAATAAAATTTTAAACTTCAACATCAAATTAGAGAACTTTCCTTTGGTTTTCCTTTCTATGTTTTTGTATGATTTTTGATCAGCATAAAATCATAATCAGTAATAAAAATGGCGCTACTCGACTTTCTCTCAGCCCCAACCTCTATTTTTATGAATGATTATAATAGAATACATTATACTGATTCAGAATCATATAAAAACATAGGTTTGAAAACCTGAGGAAAGTACTCTAATTTGATGTTCAAGTATAAAAACCATATTTGTGAAAAAATATCTCTGTTAAATGGATAAATTTCCATTCCAAATATTGCTTGGAAACTACTAATTATGTTCTTTGGAGTTATAGCATTAAAAAGTGCTGTTCTTACTATACGAGGTACGTCATAGATAGTCATAGGTCGTTTGTTTACAGTGAGCTATACACCTCAGGCTGAGTTCACAATTTTTTTAAAAGGACCATAAACACTTTTATCTAATGGTTGTAACTTATGGCTACAGTATGCTGGAAAAAATATGTGTGATACCATTTTCTTCACAAAAATCAAGTACTGCTGCATTAAAACGAGAGCTGTAGTTGACAATCAATACCAGGCAAAGGCAATTGTTGGAACAACGTGCATGGATAAAAAAATATTTGATATATTTAAGAAAATTTGTCTCTGTCATCCACCATGAAGAATGAGCTGATTCATTACATCCTATTGGTCTATTACGAATAATGTGAGATTTAAATTAACCCTGGGAAAGATAAAATATCAAAGTATGTTATTGCCAATTATGCTGAGGTTACTCGAAATATCTGGGGAAACTGCTACGTGCAATAACATATCAGGCCGCTACACTGTTGTGTTTCCAGTCTCATTGATGTTCCAAATGTCTGAAGTTTTGTAGTGAATTTTTATTCCAAATTCCAAATGTCTGAAGTTTTAACATTTAGTTAAAAAAATTAAGTCAAAACATTGCTTATGTTGTCAAAAGTAAATTAACATTGTGTTGATTAAAAATTGTGTACCGAGCTTAACTTGTTGCTTGAGGAGAGCGAATAGAAAACTTTGAATACCTTTTCAAGAATCCAGAGAACCAATCAAATATAAAAAAATAATATTATTTAAGTAGTTTTTTATTTTCATTAAATTCAAAAATCATTGAGAATATAATTCTTGAAAATATAAATATATAAAATTTAATTAAATACTACTTATGATTATATATAATTAAATTATTGCTGACATATTTATACAATAATATAATAATTAAATAAAACTAGCATAAATTAAATAGGCATCACGACAAATAGTTAAATTAGTAACAATACTCAATGCGCAAAACAAAATTTTAAACATTTGAAAAAGTAAAAGTTGAAAAAGAATAAAAAAAAGTATTAATAAAATAATATACAAAAAACAAAACAACGTAATTTCGTCTTTTTTAACATAAAATTCTCAAAAAAAAAAAACTTCAATTTTCTGATTTTCTTTTTCAGTTATTTGATTTTCTTAATGACAGGATGAAAGAGATGACAGGATGAAAGACACGATTCACATACAGTTTTCATTAAACTACAAAGCATCGAAATGAAATTTATGCGCTTCTTTTCTTTTTTCCTTTTCATCTTCTTTCTAGAAAGATAAAAAAAAAAAAAAAATTGACAACTATTTAATTTGAATTTGAAAAAAAAAAAAAAAAAATATCAACATAATATAAAATCTAAAAAATATAAAAAAATATCATCATAATATAAAATGTAAAAGTCATAAAAATATTATAAAAGAAATAGTTTGAAACGCTGATACCAACTTAACAAGAAAAAACTTGTAAAAAAATTTCGAAAAAACATGAAAATAGAAACATTTTAAGTTTGGAAAAATAAAAATTGATGAAAATAATGATTATGTAACTTATGTAACCATGGCCTACTTAAATACACGGCCGGACTTGTTGCTTACAAGTCCGAAAAATAGTAGGCCAGTTTTAACGATTTACTTTCGTAATTTATATAAAACTAACTAAAAAATAAAAAATAAAAAACTAACGTAAGATATATTAAACTTATAATTTATTATTTATTAAACTAATATCTAATAACAAAATATATAACTTGAGAAAAAAATATAAGCCAATAAAATACAGCTATAGAAAAACATAACTTATCAAAAAAAAAAAATAGTTTTAACAAAAAATACAAAAGCCAAACTTAGCAACCATAAATTAGCTTTAGAAAAAGATGACGTTGAAGCTATAGATAAGCAAATCAAAACAAAGATTAAATATGCAGAGTCCAAACAAAAGTATATCTATAGCAAAAATAAGTATAATAAATTAAGTTTGTTTCTTGTTGTGTCGATTTTTAAAGGCTAATACTTCATCTTTTCGAATCTTTCCATTTTGAATTGATTGTTCATTATTATAAAATATATTAATAACAGTTGTGTGAATATATTGTCTTCCTGTTTCTAAATGGTCAGAACACATAAAACAAATGTTATTTTTGAACAGTTCCAGTGCAGCTATAACTGTATTTTTCAATTTGTTGGAATATTTAGTTAATAACAATTCTTTAGTGATGTCTAATATGCAAAATAAGGAGCAAACATATTCTACCATGTTTTCACTAGGTTCAGTTAACCCTCCCCTTGATAGTATTTCCATATAAGGTAAAGATATTTTGTTAGTTTGAAGAAGATCTTGACACAAAGAACATTTAAATTTAGATTTAATTTTTTTTGTTATATACCCAGCAACATGAATAACAACTTCCTTTGAACTTTCACATAAATAATATTCTTCTATTTCATTTTGTAATAGAAGTAAAGCTATTTCAAGTTCTTTTGCATCATTATTGACTGGTACTTCATTATTAAACCATGTATTTAATGCCAGAGTTTCTTTAATTAGAGATTTTATGCTAACTATTTTTTCAAAACTTTTAACTTCACGCAAACTAACCAGAAACCTTCCGCCACTCATCTGCCTAAGTTTCCCAAAATGTTTTTCAAGAGGATCAGTTTGAAATCTACTGGTTAAAATGTAATCATATTCTTCTGAAAGTAAATCTTTGATTAAAGATGCAGTTCCTTTTAATGTGACTATTAGTGTATTTGATGTCTGAGCTGAAAGTGACAATTTGTGACACCCCTGTAAATTTGTATTATACCATTCACTTACATATTGAGCAAAAGCATTTAAAAATTCAGGTTTTTGATCATTTGCAACAACAGCATTTCCTATTTTATTATTAGTATTATATATATTCTTTGAATTTGAAATTGTCTACCAAGTATTTATCAAATATAGAAAATTAGCAGCACTTAACTCTTTCGAAAAAATAACTTTTGATGGCAGAATATGCTGACTCGTGGAAAATTTGCAAAGCCAGTTTAACACTTTGTTTATTTTTTCCTGGATGTAAACCAGCTGGAGTAAGTTTGTAAGCTTTCTTTAAATTAGTAGGCAGTAAGTTATCTTTTTCATTAACTTGGTGAAATAACTGCAAATGAATATCTCCATCTTCAACATTAATTGAATCCTCAAATTTATTAAAATTGAATTTTGGAAAAATGAATCTCTTTGAATGTAATAAATTATTTCTGATGTAGTTAAAAATATGTACACTATCAAATAATGTATAAATTTTATTTTGTTTATAATAATAAAAAAAAAATTTCAGTAGAATTATACTTTTTTATAAGTTTTTTAAATGCAAGTGTATTAGTTGAATGGTTGTCTGTGATGACAGCACGAATTTTAAAATTAGCATCAAAAAGATTTGTTAGACACTCTTCAGTTTCAGTCATCAACCAGTTTCCAGAAATACTTGTTTCAGGACATGCTTTAACAACAAAAGGTATAGAACGTTTAATACCAACTAACATAAAAACTACAACTCCTAAATAAAGTTCTCCATTCTCATCTTTTCCAACAAATTTACCACCATGATATTGAACACTTTTTTGCAAGTACATTTCATCAATTAACAAAACTGAATCTTTTTTTTTCTTCTTTTAATAAATATTTTAATGCTTTAATTGGTTCGATTCTTGAGTTAATGCTTTTAAATATGAAAATGAAGGAAAAGGAAATTCATCTAATAGCAAGTTACAGGCTTGTCTAGAGGTACATCGTAGAACCATAGCAAATCGAATAAGTTTATTACTATATAACTCTCTACCATGTGATTCATAATACATAAAACTATAAAGTTTGCTTAAAATATTTTTTTCTTTTTCTTTACCCCGATTTCTCATATAAGAAACTAAATTGTCTAACATGCTGACACTTGTTAGTGTACACTTATTGTTTTGACGAAACCACTGGGGAAGAGGTATAAAATTTCCCTTATGGTACAATTTTACATGCTGATTGTTATCAACATTAATGCTTTCAATGTTAGTTAATGATGTTACATTTTCAATGATAACACGATAATAAATAACGCCACCATATTTTTTTTTTTAATAAAAAATTTTGAGGACAAACTTGTTCTGTCAAGTCATTGATTGAACAAATCTTATCTAGTTTGTTGAAAACTACTGTTTCATCTAGCAATGAATGAGAATAACGTCTTTTTGTAGGAGTCTTTCTTAAAGTTATAGGTATAGGAAGTAAAGATGGCTTTAAAAAACAATCTTTATTTGTATAAATTGTTGAAGTATGACTCTTTGTAAAGTCTAGTGTATTTCTTTTGCCTTGTTAAATAAATTTTTCTTCAAAATGATCAATTCATGTTCCTGAGAATTTAGATGGTTTCCAGTTAATTCTGTTTATAAACTTGATCCACTGGGAGCATAAATTTATGTCTGAGGGAAAATTAAATACTGTTTTATTAATAAAACCCTCTACAGTATCGACATTTTTTTTCTTTTTGTAACCACTTCTGCAAGCAACTACACAGCACTTTTTAGGTATTTTATTCTAATAACAATAGTTGTAATTTTTTTGAGAACCACTTAAAGCAAATAAAGAACATGACTAAAAACTGGCCTACTAATTATCGGACTTGTAAGCAACAAGTCCGGCCATGTAAGTTAAGTAGGCCATGATGTAACACATAAAATTTATTTTTGATGTTTTTAATTTACTTATGTTTTTAATTTATAACTAGATCCAAGATCTAAAACAGAACTTGCTTGTTTTAAAATCAATTTTGAAGTAAAAGTAAATGACAAGTAAATAAAATAAAAATAAATTAACAAGTTGAAACAGACAAATAAAAACTTACCTTTTCTTTCACATGTAAGATTATAATAATTCCTGCGATGAGAAGACATGTACCTAATAAAACTCCCCCTGTTTGCACGAACATTTTACTTTTTCCAACGAGTAGTTTAGTCATCCAACTATTAATAAAGAAATCATAACATATCAAAAATGTTTAGCATTTAAATAATATAAACTCATATTATTTTCTTGATTTTTTTTTTTTATTCACAAAATTTTAAGTCAAACTTTATGATTTTAAAAATATTTTAAAGTTATTATTTTTTTAACATTACTTCAAAAATCAAAAATTTTTTTTTACAATTTTAAGTAGTTTAAGATGTGCGCATTCATCATCATATCATTGCGTTCACCATCATATCAACGCGGCCACCATCATATCAATGCGTTCACCATCATATTAACACGTTCACCATCATATCAACGGAGAAAATTTCTTTGTTCACAAGGTAAAGTAAGTTTATCTAAATCAAGCATTGCCTAATTTGGAATATGCAGAGTGTATACAAAGAATTTATCTCGTAGAAGCAGCTTGAGAAAAAATCTGTTTTGCCCTAAATGTAACAGTGTTTACCTGAGATGATGTTTAGAATCAGTAGAGACATTTTGAACAAAACTTGAACAACAGATGCTATTTCCCAGCAGCCTCATTCAAGCACTTAATAAATAGTTTAGAGTAAATTGAAAAGAGTTCTAGAGAACAATTTTGTAAGACTGTGACATAAATGTTGTCTGGACCACAAGCCATAGAAAAGTTTAATCGAGATATGACTTTAGCAACGGGAGCTGGAGTGATTTGAATGTCTAACAATGGGTTAACCTGTTTAATTGAAATGAAAGAAATAGAATTGCCATAAGTTTTGAGAGTGGAATTAGAAGAGAAGTTCTTTGCAAATATCCCTGGGAGAGGCAATAAAATTAATCTAATGAATGAGATATGGAATGTTAGACCTTCCTTTGTTAACAACGCTGTTAAAGATTTTTCAAGTCTCTAGAGCCTAACTTCTGAGATGTGAGATTTAGTGAATTGAGAAAAATGGAGACCAGATTTAATGAATTGAGAATAATGGAGCTTAGCATCAAACAACACCTTTTTACATTGATTTCTTGCAATAATAAATAGCATTTTTTTCTCAAGAAAGTTGTTCTTTTAAAAAAGATGAAAAAAATGATTACAATTAGATATAGCAGTTGCACAAGAAAGTGAAAACCATAGAGTAACATGAAGCTTGACTTGGAAACAAAGAGAAGGAATAACAACTTCAATTCCTGACAAAATCCAGGAGGATATGTAAAAGACATATTTAATAGCAGAGAGAAAAAAGAGAAAAGAAACCAAAAGAATCCAATGCTTTAGGGTAGTAGTCACTTTAGGGTAGAGTACAGAAAAAAAGTACAAGATGAAAGATTTAAAAAGATCATTGCATGGTTGGAACCACCTAAACGAGAACAAGGAGAAACTGAAGACAGGCTAAGATCAGAGACCAGACATAAATTACAGGGTGAAGGTAAATGATTAGGGTTGTCAGAAAAACGAGTCAAAAAATTAACTAATTTTAATTAATTTGTTTATTCAGAATTAGAAATTTACAATACAAAAATTATTAAAAATTCTAATGAAGTAGTGCGACACCAGGCACTACTATGCTGACAGCTTAAAGACACGCGCTGTGTCTATTGTTTGTTATTTTTCCATCAATGTGATCCTTGAAGGAATTTAACAAGACTGCATAAGCTGCTTTTGCAGGAAGCGAGTTCCATGCATTTACCACACGGTTAGTGAAGAAATGCTTCCTCTCTTCGCAATTTTTGACTATTTGCTTTATTAATCTTCGGTTGTGTCCTTGTAGACAGTAATTTACTATTGATGGCGCGTACACCTGTGGTACGGCAAATTCTATTTTTTCGATGCCTTGAACGATTTTAAACTGCTGGATCAAATCACCTCGGTTTCTTCTTTCTTCAAGAGTTGTGAGTCCAAGGATTTGGAGCCTCTCCTCATATGATTTATGTTTGATTTCTGTGACTGTTTTTGTTGCTCTTTGTTGAATGCATTCTAGCATAATTATATCTTGTTGTAGATGTGGAGACCAAGCTTGTATAGCAAATTCAAGATGTGGTCTGACATATATGGTGTACAAGACTTTTCCACAAGGAAAGTCCTCTGCTTCTAAAAGCTTTTTTAAGAGAGCCTAACACACAATAGGCTCTTGCTGATGCCGCTTCTACTTAATATTTCACTCTCAAGTTATGAGAAACGATTATTCCTAGATCACTTTCATGATTGGTGCTTTCAAGGGTTTTTCTGTTTCCTAATTGATCGAGCATTGTATAGTCTTGAGTCGATTTGTTGATTAGGCGTCATAACATGCATGACTTTGCATTTTGCCACATTCAACTCCATGAGCCATATTTTGGACCAACATACTACTTCGTTACAGCGTCTGCCTTGCTCTTTATTAAGCCTATAATCTTGCTGTCGTCAGCGTACATTTTAATTTGATGTGCTATATTATCAGGTAAATTGTTTATATATAGTATGAATAATAGAGGTCCAAGCACTGAACCCTGTGGAACACCACTTGTGACTTTCTTCCAATCTGATTTATGATTACCGATTGTTACTCTTTGTTGTCGGTTCGCCAGCCAGTTATCTATCCACTCGAGTAGAGTTTTACATACACCGCACAATTTAAGCTTATGAAGTAGCCGTTTGTGTGATACTTTGTCAAACGCCTTTGCAAAGTCAGTATAGATAACGTCTATGGCATAACCTTTGGAAAATTGCATTTGTTAATGTCTCTTGTTTCTAATAAATTAGTGGCACAACCTTTTCCCGGAAGAAAACCATGCTGGTCTTTAGTGATTAAGTTATTTACGATGCAATGCTTCATTATGATATCGTGAACGAAACTCTCCATTACTTTGCAAGAGACAGATGTTAGAGATACCGGTCGATAGTTAGCTTTTTTTTGTTTACTTCCTTTTTTAAAAATCTGTGTGATATTTGACTTTCTCAATATTTCAGGTATATGACTTTCAGCAAAAGACTTTTGGAATATGAGTGTGAGTGGCACAGCAAAAGCAGAGGAACAGTTTTTTAACACCCGAGGGTGTACTCCATTGTGACCTTTGGATTTCGATTCTATTAGGTTTTCGAGCTTTTCTCTGACATATGATTGTTTTATTGAGAATTCGTTTATTTCGCATTTGACTTTCGTTCTATTTTTGAATTGTGACATTTGTTCATCCATATTGGTGATAAATACTGATTAAAAATATTTGTTTATTACGTGGGCAATTTCTTCTTCGTTCGTTCTAATTTTACCTTCATTATCTTCCAGAGATTTTATTTGTTCATTTGCTTATGTCGTACATATTCATGTAAGTGTTTAGGGTCCGATTTAAATCAATTTGCAATTTTTTTTTCATATGCCTTGGTTGCAGATTTGACAACCTTCATGACGTTTTTACATGCATCTTGATGTTCTTTTTTAATTACCTCACCAGAATTATTTCCTGCTTTAAGATATTTGCTCCAGAGTATTCTTTTTTTTTTAACTGCCTCCTTGACTTCTGGTGTGTTCCATGGTTCTTTCTTTTCAATAAACGGTTTTGTAGTTGATGGGATGTACAACTCAACAGCCTCGTTATACCTGTCGATGAATACTGAGTAGTTATTGCTCACCGAAAAGTTTTTGAATAGGTTGTACCAGTCGTATGCTAGTATTCGTGTTGTATAGTATTCGTGTTGTATGCTAGTATTCGTGTTGGTTCAATCCTTGGCCCTATACTCTTTTTAATTTACATTAACGATCTTCCAGATATTCTCACATCTAAGGTGGCATTATTCGCCGACGACACTACCATTTACTCTTGTCATGATAAGAAGCCTACACTCTCTGATTGCTTGGAGGGGGTATCTGAGCTTGAAAAGGATCTCACTTCTGCTACAGCATGGGGCTCACAGTGGCTGGTGAACTTTAATTCAGATAAAACTCAATTTTATTCGGCCAATCGTTATCGTAACAATTTAGATCTTCCTATATTTATGAATGGTAATGTACTAGATGAGTCATCTACCATTCATCTTCTAGGATTAACTCTTACTTCTGATCTTTCTTTTAAACCGTATATCAAATCCATTGCAAAATTAGCATCTGCTAAGGTTGCATCTCTTTATCGAGCTCGACACTTTCTTACTCCAGATTCTATTCTCTATCTCTATAAATCTCAAATCCGTCCCTGTATGGAATACTGTTGCCACATCTGGGGCGGATCTTCTAATGATGCTCTTTCTCTTTTAGACAAGGTGCAAAAACGAATTGTAAACATAGTTGGACCTGCTCCGGCAGCCAATCTCCAACCTTTGTCACATCGTCGTAATGTTGCTTCTCTTTCTCTTTTCTACAAATACTATAATAGGCACTGCTCTAAAGAGCTAGCGTCCCTTGTGCCGTCTACTAAAATTCATTCTCGTGTTACTCGCCATTCAATTAAGTCTCATCCTTTTTCTGTGACTGTTCCTAAGTGCTTCAAAAACTCTTATTCTTCTAGTTTTTTTCCTCGAACATCAGTTCTTTGGAATTCGCTTCCTTCATCTTGCTTTCCTGATTCATATAATTTGCAATCTTTTAAGTCATCAGTCAATCGTTATCTTGCTCTACAGATTTAGTCTTTTCTCTTCCAGTAACTTCCAACTCTTATAGTGGTTGCTTGCAGCCTTGTTGGAAGTGAAGATGTTAAAAAAAAAAAAAAAAAAAAAAAATATCTTGCTGAATTCGTGTTGAAAAAGATTTATAGTCTGCTCTACTCCAGATCTCTTTTATTTTTTAAGTTATTTTCATTTCTATAGTTTATTGTAAATGATCCAATTATAAAACAGTGCGATTGGCCTGCGGGTGTATGATCTAAAGAGTCACCCTTTTCTATTTCCTCAATTCTGTCTGGGTCATCTGTGATAATAAGGTCAAGTGTGTTTTTTGGATCCTCTTTTCTTGAGTTACGATACGTTGGGAAGGTCACCACTTGAGTAAGATGATTTTCAATTAAACATTTCTGAAATTTTAAGTCTGTTTGTCGTTCTACTTTTACGTGGGCTGTGGTAGCCCTTCCGCCA